CCCCTCCTCCCTCCCTCCCTCGCCCACCCACCCTCTGGGTGGTGGGGGGCAGCAAGGCGGGCCCTGGGCCCAGGAGAGGAGCGCAGGAGGGCCCCTTGGGCAGAGGGGCAGCTGAAGGCAGGGGAGGGGCCTCGCAGCAGGCTCCGTGGTCTTCGACCGGGAAGGCAGGAGGGGGACAGAGATGCAGGCTCTGAGAAGCGCGTGGAAGCAATTCACCAGCATCTGTCCAGAAATAAAGTCACTGATGAGGTGCCAGCCCATCCCGGGTTCTGTGGGGGCGCCACCCTCGCGGGGGGTTGGAAGAGGGGTTTTTGGGAACCCACCCAGCTCCTGGGCAGCAGTTCCTGCCCTTGAGTCTGGAGAGGGGACCCGGTGAGAGGTGATGGAGGTGAAGGCTCCCCCATTTCCACCCGCGGGAGATACGCACACCCGCTGGGGCCCAGGATCAGGTCACCCCACGTCCCTCTCAGAGGCAGGGAAAGGGCCGGCTCAGCACCATGCCCGCCGGGGCGGTGGTTCTGGAGACTGGGCTGTGACCAGGAGCCAGGCTGTGCTCCCAGAGGTCTGTGCGGGCCTGGCTGGGGGTGGGGGGTGGTCCTTCTGTCCCACCTCATTAGGGTCTGGCCACCGGCTCTGTAGTTCCTCAGCCTCGGCACCCCCTCCCGTGTATCCGGCCCTTGGCCTGGAACAGGGTCAACGCCAGGCCCCGCCCCACCTGCCGGGTGAGTGATGGGAGCAGCCTGGGCCGCCCTCGCCTGGTCCCTGAAGCCATCTCAGTCCCAACTTCCAAACACACTCCCAAGCCGTGTCTTCCTGGACCCCCCTCACCCTCCAGGTCCAGCCGCTTCCGATGGCTCTCACGGCAGCTTCCGATGGCTCTCACGGGTGACGCTGACCCCACGGCGTGAGTGAGGAGGAGAGATGGCAGCGAGCCCCCGCCAAGCGGAATCCTACTGGTCTGCGACCTGGTCTCCATCGCCTGCAGACCAGGCTGGGCTTATTTATTTATTTTAAATATATTTTATTGATTTTTTTATTAAATCATTATTGTTCAGATTATTACATTTGTTCCTCTTTTTTGCCCCCCATAACTCCTCTCCTCCCAGTCCCCGCCCCACCCTCCGCCCTCACTCCCCACCCACTGTCCTCATCCATAGGTGCACGATTTTTGTCCAGTCTCTTCCCGCATCTCCCATTCCCCTTTCCCCGCCAAGAATAGTCAGTCCATTCCCTTTCTATGTCCCTGATTCATTATAATCACCAGTTCATTCTGTAAATCAGATTATTTATTCACTTGATTCTTAGATTCACTTGTTGATAGATGCATGTTTGTTGTTCACAATTTGTATCTTTACCTTTTTCTTCTTCCTCCTCTTAAAGGATACCTTTCAGCATTTCATATAATACTGGTTTAGTGGTGATGAACTCCTTTAGCTTTTCCTTATCTGTGAAGCTCTTTATCTGACCTTCAATTCTGAATGATAGCTTTGCTGGATAAAGTAATCTTGGTTGTAGGTTCTTGCTATTCATCACTTTGAATATTTCTTGCCACTCCCTTCTGGCCTGCAAAGTTTCTGTTGAGAAATCAGCTGACAGTCGTATGGGTACTCCCTTATAGGTAACTGACT